ATGTGAATCATTCAAAAACGTTCAACACCTTCACACGAGAAAGAAACTTTAAAAACTTGTTATTGACTGTAAAAGAACAAAGGATACTAAATTCAATCAACTGAATAAATTTGATTGGTGCATGAATTACATAAAAATATGATCGCGTATGTGAATATCGCATATAAATAATACAAAAAAAGACATTTCACGCCAAATGTACAAAGTTTTTCGGAGATTCCGGAGATTATAAAGTTTTATAAAGTAAAAAAAAAATTTTTTTCAATCAAAGTGATAATTAATGAATCTTGATTTTTAACGCGCTATGGCGCATCTCAAATATTTAAGTGAGCAACATTTTTAAATGAACATCTTATTATAGTTAATTTTTTTCCATTTCCTTTAGGTTATTTGTTTCGCGAAACATGGAAATGTAGGGTGAATTTGATATTAATTACCTCATTCTCAATTTATGATATAAATAAATGCCGTCAAAATGATTTGATCTTTTTTGTTTTTGAAACGTTTTAATATAAATATGTCAAGTAAGAAAAAAAATTATGTACAGGTTATATGTTACGTGATAATCTAAAATATACATCCTTTATTATAAATTTTTTTTTTTTTAATGAAGTGGGAAAAAAAAACCTGAAAGAATAAAAGAATATATATGTACATATACGGTGAAACTTTACTCTAAAGATCACGATGCGGTAAACACCATTACGGAGAATTAACGCCGTATATGTACCAATAAGGATTTAACATATCCATAAAATGAACAATATAAAAAAACTTTGATAAGATGAACCATGTACATATATAAATATATAATATATAAATATTATATATATATAATAAAAATATATATTTTATATAATATTTGAATATTTACTTTATTTTCATCGAAAGGAATTGAATTGCTAAAATCATCCGTTCCGTTACCTTTTTATCTTTTTTTTTTTAAAAAAAAAATTTATCATCATAACCTAAACTTTATCAAGAAAAATATACTACTATAAAAAAATTATATGAAATATGTATTACTTTAAATAGATTGTGGCACAGCAATATTCGGTTAAGGCTGAAATGAGTAGCGCTAAGAATATCAATTATTAGGATGAATTTGGTTAGCGTTGTACGAGCGCAGTTGATTTGTATCATATTAGTTATACCTTTTAACAATGAAAAAATACTTAATTAATTCTTTTTTAAAAATAAAAGGGTAACAATATGAATCACGTGATATAGTTCGCTTCTCATAATTTTTTCATATGTACAATGAAAACATTTCCTAATTGGGACCCGAAGAAATCATGTGAAATGGTTATTCGTTCATGCTTAATTGGCGTGTTTCACATGCGCAGCTTACGCAGCTTTTTTTTTTTAAAAAAAAATACTTACAATGAAAAATTCCTAAATTATTTGAGATAAAAAATAATCAAACTATTTTAAAAAAAAAAGCCACGTAAAAAAATTAATAAAAACAAAGTATCGTATACGGTTTACAACATTTATTTTTATTTTTTAAGTTAATTTCCGGGATCGACCGGGAATTCCGATCGGAATGCAAAAAATGCAAGCAATTTAATTATTTTTTTCAACGATCATCTAATGTCATACAAAAAAAAAAAAAAAAAATTTCC